TGGAAAAAACCCACCAAACAATGTAGTATTTTGTAGTAAGTGTGGAAAATACACAAAGTACTGGGAATAGGGAGGAGAACCTTATCTTCTTTCAAATCCATAAGCTACAAAGTCACATTTTCTCTTGCTCTCTCTTTCTAGTCCCACAAGCCCGACATTGTGCTTGCTTCAGAAGTGAGGGTGGAGCGGAATGCCACACTTGGCTAAGACATTTTGTAGTCACTCACTTTGGCAGTGCTCAACAGCCTCCTGGATGCCTTGGATCCTGCCCCGGGCACTACCTGCCGGAGAGGAAACCGACACACCTAATCTCAAAATCTGGATTCCAGGAAGAGACTGCAATTAGATACTGGAGCACTGAATTCTTGACATTCCTAGGTCCTTCAGTAGAGCTAGTCTTGTTTTAGGTTTTCCCCACACAAAATGAGGATAGTACATTTGTGACTCACAAGGGATGTCAAACTAACACCCATCAATAATTAATTATTAACTTTACCTATTAATCATGGTAACTATTAAGAGCGTTTCTGTGTGCCTGGAATTCATGATACAAAGCACTGAGGACTATCAACATTTCAGAAACCAAACAGGAAACAATTTCAGACTTTTTTGTAGGGCAGCACGCTAACAAAAGAGATAATTAGCAAGGAGGAAGAGCAGGAAAGAAATGAATGAGGTTTTGTGTATTACAATAACCTAATTTTCACACGATGTCATCTTGGGAAAAGCCAGTGGTTACTGAAGATTGCATGGTTTGTGAAGCAGATAGGCAGATGATGTCTGAACAGGTTGTGTGCAAAAAGGCAAAGTATATTAACAGAGATTGAACACGGAGCTCACACAGCTATATGTCTCCTGGATCAGCTTGGAGTGATGCGTGATGGTTTATTTTAAGCAGCTCAAGCCACAGCTGTAATAGCTAATCCAAAAAAATGTAGCCTTAGAATGTACACCTTACAGGATGTCTAAAAGTTCTTAACTACCCCCTTTCCGTCAACAAGCATCATATATCTCTCAGTGTACACACACTTAAAATTAATGCATTGAATCTGAACAAGATTTTTTTTGGTGATCCTCTGGTCTCTTATGTACTACTATAGCCACTTTGATGCATTAGCTTACATTGATGAAAAAGGTATTAGCACATGTTCCTTTTTGCAGCATACAACACAGAATGGTGCCCTCCAGGGGGACAGATAACAAGGAGCATCTGGGAGACCAGAATGTCTTGGGTCACCACAATCTTATTTGACAGGCTTAGCACAAAAGGCTCCAAAGCAAGATCCAAGAACAAAAAGATCAGAGTAGACCTTCAGAGCAGTAATTTGCTCAAGCGTGGTGGAACCTACCTACCTATCCTTTCAAGGAAGCTCAGGGGCAACATCCCCCTCAGAACGGTTCAAAAATACTCTACTGTAACATCACATACCCTCCAATTCTGATCCCTAGAAAGGCTTTCCTTAAACTCTAGAGTGTAACCCTCATGCTAGAACTGTCACTTTTCTAAAGAGACAGACATATCAACCCATTACTGACAGAATTTTCCTTTAAAAAAATCAGAATACAGCTATTGAATCTGCAATGAGTACAAAAGTCATATTATTTCTGCATCAGCTTGTGTTTGCATGTGTGTGCATGCATAAACAAGAGACAAAATAACAGCGTCCCTCACACTGGCTTGAGGACATTGGCTTTACTCTTACATAGAAGACAAAGGGCTCATTTTAGACATTGTTCTGTTCAAAGCCCAAATTTTCTATAGGAACTTCTGTAGCAAAGTATTCCTTTTAGAATTTCTAAATGGAAAATAGCACAATGTGGATTATATGGAACAGAGGACTGGAAGGCATCAATTAATCTCCCTCAATGGCCCCTATTACACTTGCAGGCTATGCAACCTGCTAATTGGGGCTGAGAGCAGCTTCTCAGTCATTGCCTTCTCCAGAGTTTGTTTCAAAACCCATCTCTTTCAGGGACCAGATTCCTTCACACCTTCCAAATCCCAAAGCTTAACTCGGCACTTAACTTCTAGGCAGATTTCTTGATCCCACATACGCATAATGTGGGATCAATCAGCAATCAAAGAGTGCTCAATGAAGTCCAAATAATCTAGATTAAGCTAGATCAAGCTGCTTAAAGATCCAAACAACACAGATCTTGTCTGGTTATTATTGTCTCCGTGCATTTCTTTAATGATTACTTCATGCAAGCTTCAAGTGTAAGATCCAAACAACACAGATCTTGTCTGCTATTATCGTCTCCTTGCGTTTCTTTAATGATTACTTCATGCAAGCATCAAGCGCAGACTTAAGCACTGATCATAACTAAAGATAGATGCTGAGTTCATCCATAAGCCCAGTAACTTTAGAAGCTACACATGAATGTTTCTCATCTCTTTATTGCATAATACCCTTTCATGGCTAACACATGCCAGACCAGGTACAATTTTGTGACTAGTTTAGTCATGTCCTCACATATACAATCTATCTGCTGTAAAAAACTAATCACCTGCAACCTGCATCCTTTCTAGATATTGCATATCATCATCACCATATTCTCATCTATGAGCCATATTGCCACTTGATAACCGCTGACAAGATTTGTGCTTTTCAGGTCTGTACAGCTGACATTTCTTTGAGTTGATGTTCTCTGTTTTGTTTATGCCTCTACCTTGCTGACCCAGGTCTTATCATCATGGACACTTCATTATTTAATCTGCACTGCAAAATTACCGAGCTTTATGGTAGAATAATTTGTTCCTTACTACTCAAACTAGAAGAATTTGCCAGTTCTTAAAGAATTTTTAAATTTCAGACAAAATAAAATTCTTGGATTTGGACTGGCCATCTCAAAGTAATACGCAGATCAAGAATGGAGACTGTACCAAGAGGACTGTTCAATGACAGTTTTAATCTTAATTCAAGACAGAAAATGTAGAAAGCAGATATGAAAGTAAAGACTTGAAGCAGACAGATTGATGAGGCTGCCACTTCAAAATAAACTTAGCGCAAACAGCCTCAACTTCCCCTTTTAGCCAAACCACGCATT